TGTCTACTTCTAAGATTGATTTTTTTTTTTTTTTTTTTTAGCTGTCTGAAGACGGACCTATTTTTTTTTTTTTTTTTCATTTTATTCCCATTTTTTAAAAAATGGCTTTTACAGAGTATGTGCAGTGTCTTGTTAGGCTTTAATAAAATCTGTTTGACCTTCCTACGTTCAAAGACCTCTTGTATTTTTTGGTATACTTTTTAAGTCTTGGTAAATAGTCAAAATAAAGAACCTCATTGATGTCTGGTGTGCTTTTCCCCATATACAGAATACATAGTACACAGGAAAAGGGAAGTCTGAATTCTCCACAGTATCTCTCTTGAAGAGATACCGTATTTCTCTTGAAGAGATAATTGCGGAAGAAGGTAAACAGAAGATGTAGGGAAAATATAGGAAAATGGTCAGGACCCTTCATATGTTCAGAATCTTGCAGAGCATTTGATGTAAATATGCACGTGCACCCAGGTGTTCCTTAGTTATTGTGTAATGTAATTGCACATGTGCACCCAGGTGTCCTGGGTTATGGACTTAAGTATAAAGGACGAGTGGCTCTGATACACAGGGACCCCGACCCCCAAGATGTCCCCAGGGGGGCCACGGGGAGGCTGCTACTGCTGCTGGAGGCTGTTGCTGCCAGTGTCCCTGGGACCCTCCAAGAGGCCACCGCTGCCACCGCTGCTACTGCTGCTGGAGGCTGCTGTAAGTTGCTGCTGCTGCTGACGACTGAGCTCGTGTCGTCTGCCAATGGCTCCCAGGATCCTTCTCACTTACCTAGCATGGACCTGCGTCTGAGGGATCTGGTGACTCAGTCTGTACAATGGGTTTGAAGGGTCTGAGCCTTAGCTCTGACAATACAAATAGAAACTTAGTATCACTAAAGTTATGGAATGTTTTGGCTTTAGTTATGAAATGCCTAGCCATGTAATTTGCGTAGTCCCTGACCCTACAGAAGACTTCAGTTATAAAATTCATATTTAACTGGTAGTCCTTGAGGGATAGTAAACCCTTAGTTTTACCCTGCTCTGTTAATACAGATTTTTCTGAGAGACTTAGGCATCACCCATTAGTATAGTGTTAATCACTTGGTGTTCCAGGTCCTGGGATGGCAATGTTGAATAAGACATTATTTCTGATTTCAAGGAGATCAGAGACTTGTGGGGCAAAAAGTTTTGTAAACAACACAACATGATGTGACAAATGCTATGAAAGATGTATGTATGTACAGCAACTGGGGGGCTCATATGAGGAGTTTCAAAAAGTTCATGGAAAGATTTGTATTGTCTTTTAATTTTGTTTTTCCATGAACTTGTTGAAGTACCCCTGGAGAAGAGAGCAGTCAGTTTTGTAGAGTGTCAGGGAAGGAGGAGGTAACAATTAAACCAGGCCTGGAGGGACGGTAAGATTGGAGATGAGCAGGCTATGGAGAGGCAGCAATATGTACAGAGGACACATCTTTGCTTGTTTGCCAGGTGGTTGTGGTATGGGTGGGTCATTAGGTGTGTGACAAAGGAAGTGTTAGGAGGCGAAACAGGAAAGCTGTGATGGGGCCTTTTGTGTATATTGAGGAGTTTGGACTTGATTCTCTTGGAAATGGAGAACCATCAAGGATTTTAAAGCAGTGAAGGACACGATCTGTTCATCTTTCTGTTTTGGAAAGCTGTATTCAGATAGTGTGGAGGAAGTTACTGGAGGTGAGAAGACTAGTTAGGAGGCTACTGTAAGAGTCCAAACAAGTCCTGGTATAGCAGAGCAGCAGAGGGATAGAGAGAAAGTGATTTCCGAAACATTTTTAAGGCAATCCTAAAGTTCTGAGAGGCAGTGTATCGTAACGAAACGTGCGCTGGATGGGAGGCAGGATACCAAGGTTCTGGGTTTTGTTTTGTTCTTGACTCGTGTCACTTTAATCATTTGGAATTCTTGTTGATAAGGGGAAGGTAGTGTCCTCCTAACTGTCTCTTCAGTGCTGGGATTCTAATAAAGGGAAACTAAAGCAAATGAAACAAAACAATAAAAACCTCAAGCAAACCCAAGAATTTAGAGTTTTGCAGCCTTTTTTTCTTCTTTTGCAGGTGTTAGATAGCCTTTCCCTCTATTGTACCAAACAATTCAGAACCAAAAAAAAAAAAAAAAAATCAGGTGTTGAATCACTAGGATTATTAAGGTGTTGATTATCAAAATCTTAAAATTGTGTGATTGATTCACCTTGCCTAAAAAATTATGTATATATGTACATTTTTACTCCTTTTTTCGTCCTGTGTCAGCATAGTCCCACTTGTATCTTCCTGGCATCTATATTTGATATATTTAGAAGATCTCAGTTGGAATTTTCAGTTTTTGGTTTTAGAGGGGCAGAACTCATTGGTTTGGAATTGTTTTCTGCTCTTTCGCTATGCTTTTGATCTCTCTCAATTTCATAAGTATTTTGAGGTATGTTATTCCTGAGCCTTTACCAGACCAGCGCATGCTTAGCATTCATCAGGTGTCAGTGGGCTTTGCTTCTGAAACAAATGGAGCAGGCTCTGAGATGGCTTATATTTCCCACTCTTATTTGAAGTGGGTTTCCGGGCACTGTTCTTTTCTGTTGAATGAAGCATTAGAGATGCTTAGGAGATAGTGTACTATTATTGAATACAGTCATGCACCGCTTAATGATGGGGATATGCTCTTTGAAATGCATTGTTAGGCAAAAGTGTATTATGAAAGGGAACAGGAATGAATTTTCCTATTATCTATACTGGCTACTAGTTGCACGAGCATGGGCCCTCTAATTATGTTACTAAGTCTTTCTGTTCCCCACTTTCCTCGTCTGTTAAATGGGAATCAGAGTAATACTACTTCCAAAAAGTTATGAAAGTTAAATTACAGGTAGGGATTGTACCTGGCACTCAGCAACCACTCAGTCTTAGCTAAACTTTTATTAAATATTATTTTGCTGTGGGGATGGGTGTGAATCATTTAAAAATGCAAGAACTCTAAAGTAGACAACAATCCTTTCATTTGGGGTCAGACCTAAAAATGTCAAATGCTTTGCTTTCTATCTTAAAGCTCTGAGCTGCCTTTGGGAGGGTGACCCCATGGGTAAGCTAGGCACTCTTCCTCAACATATTTTGCAGTAGGTTTGTTTATACCAGCATCAGCACAACACATGAGTACTGCGTTGTGCTAAAATGTTGTGAAGACTATGTCACTAGGTGATATTTTCAACTCCATTATAATCTTATGGGACCACCATCACATATACAGTCCATTATTAACTGAAACATTGTTATGCAGCAGGAAAGTATACTACTTTAGTTGCATTTACTAAAAGTGTTAACTGTATTTATAATATATCTTTAAAGCACTTCTTTTCTTTTTATTCTAGTTCCAAAAGATCCGAAACCTCAGTGGAGACGGGTAGCATGGAGTTATGATTGTACTCTGCTAGCCTATGCTGAAAGCACAGGAACTGTGAGAGTGTTTGATCTCATGGGAAGTGAACTCTTTGTCATTTCCCCGGTATGTGCATACCTTAAGCTGATAATGTACTTTTTTCAATGCCTTCCATGTGTAGGTGCTTGAATGTATGAATGTGAAGAGAGGGGAAATACAAATATAAATCAGAATAATAAGCTGTGAACTTAAGAAGCTCAGAATCTAGTTAGAGCTCTATATATGTGCAATATTTGTTCTTCATATTTTGTAATGCACTATCCAGATGTAAGCCATCTGGTTGTAAGTAAATACTAGAGATACAGAAAGTTGTTAAAAAGTATGAATGAGGGAAAGAAGTCAATGGGCTGTTGAAACAGGAACAGCTTTGAGAGGAATTAGAATTTGTTACCCTAAAGGGGATAGAAATGGAAAGAGAGAGTGGGGAGAAAAAAATTAATGGTAGTAATAACCTGAATTTGTGTAGTGTTTTATACTTTTTTAATGACTTCAATGTGTATTCTTACTTAATATTCATGACAACCCTTTGAGTAGGTTGGGCAGATATTGTCCTCACTTTCGGTTTAGAAAACATGGATTGAGGGGGAACAAAATGACTTTTCTCATGGTAATCCAGTTAATAAGTGTGTCTTCTAGGAATCTAGTGCTTTTTATTTTGTATCTTTCTACCTCAAATGATCAAGTTTTTGGGGCAGGTAGAACAGTGGTTCTAACTCTTGGCTGCATCTTAGAATCACCTGGGAGCTTTATAAAGAAAACAAAATGAAAAACAAAACAAATTACTGATGCCCAGGCTCTGCCCACAGAAATTCTGGTTTAATTGATTTGAGTGGGGCCTGGGCATTAATATCTTTTACAAGCTTTTCAGCTGATTCTATTGAGCAGCTAGGACTGAGAACCAATGATAGAATAATTTTTGTTCAGAAATAAGGAGTGGAAAGACTTGGAAAAGTGCATTGGTCTCATATTATATAATTCCTAGGTAACCAAAGGAGTTTGGATTACTATTTTGTATACTAGTGCTGTCTAATAGAAGTATAATATGAGCTATATATGTGATCAAATGTAATTTTAAATTTTCTAGTAGCTGCAATCAGAAACAGGTGAAACTTATTTAATAAATACATTTTATTTAATCCAATATAACAAAAATGTTATTTCAACATGTAATCAACATTATTGTAATCATGTATTGTAGTCATTATGTAATCAACATATAAAAAACATTATTAATGAGCTATTTTACATTCTTGGGCACTAAGTCTTTGAACTTTGGTCTGTATTTTCATATTTACACCATATCTCATTTTTGACTAGCCATGTGTCAAGTGGTTGGGGAGGAAAAAATTTTCCTCTACCCTCTTAAATTTAGTTCCTGGGTGAAAGGGCGCACGGACCCAAGCTGATAAGGCGGCAGGACCCGAGCTGACAGTTCGCCAGAGAAGTTCCACTTTATTCAAGGACTGCCGTACATTTATAGGGAGCTGCGTTCTGGGTTTGGATAGGGGGTGGACGGGCGGTAGCCAATTGGACGGGGCTGGGCAGGAAGTGAGCCCTGACCTGTGACTGGCTGAGGTTTGGCGCGGGTGGGCTTGGGTGTTGGCACCGGCGGGCTTGTTTACTGCGGAGAAGAACCAGGAAAGGCGCCATATTGCCAGGGTGTGTCCCTGTTCAGGCGCCCATGGGGTCCCTACACTGGGGGCCTGCAAATTAAACTTGACAAAAGATTAACAAGAGAAAAGGCGTGCGATTTCTCTTGATGTTAATATTTTTACATTCACAGAGGATTTACAGAAAGGAAGTGAAAACTCAGAGAAGCAGTTAGACTCAGGGGCTTGTATGCCATTTTAATAAAAGGCTATAAATTGTGGAGAAGTGACTAGACAAAAAAAGAGTTTGGGCTTATAGGGTTGGTAAACTGTGGGAAAGTGACTAGGAAATATATGGGGGGAACTAATAGAAGAAAAGTGTTATTTAATAAGGTTTGTATATGCAGACTCATTTTGGTGTGACTCTCAGTCTTTGGTGATGAGTCCGTTTCCTCTTCCTGGTTTCAAAGGGTCACTTTCACAAAGAAAAATTTATGCCTTGTTTTTAGGCAAATAAAGGGAGGACAGAGAACTTTTCCTGCATCTGTTGGTTCTCAGTTGCCTTCGGCTCAAAATAATCCTTATGCCAAAGTGGCATATTTTGGAGTGGCATATTCTCTTCCCCTTCAGGGGTGATAAACTTTATTATGTATTCTTCTCAAGGTGCATAGGCCTTCAGATCTTTAGCAAGATAGCCTTATATTTAGTTGATGGAAAAGGGTTGACATTGAGTGATTGTTTTATGTGTCCTTTCCTTTAAGTTGCTGATTAGGCAAATAGAAATTAATTGGAGACTTTGTAGCATAGGCTATTGGTGGCAGTGGAAATTAACACTAGAAAGCTTATATATAGAAACAGGTTGAGTTCTCTGAGGCTGAATGGTGGCACTACTTTTATTATATTTTATTTTTCCAAATAGAAATATTCTATTTATATTCTATTTGAATAGAAATTTACTTACCTAGGCAAACATCTCATTCAAAAAGGCTTCTGTTGTTCCAGCCTGTGTTAGGGGGGCTGGTCTAGACTTGGGTATCTAGTTCTAGGCACTCTGCTTTGTGTGATTTTTGAGTATACAGAGCAATTCTGGGTCTGTCTTATTTAAAGTGTACCTGGCAAAGCCAATGTCTCGGGTTTTTTCCAATTATGTATGTGTTAAATTTTATCTAGTATCTTTTTAGTAACTTAATTTCCCCCTCTTCTTCAGGCATCTAGTTTTGCAGGCGATTTGAGTTATGCCATTGCTGGGTTGATATTTTTAGAATATAAAGCAAGTGCACAGTGGTCTGCAGAACTCCTGGTCATCAATTACCGAGGAGAACTTAGGAGTTACCTTGTGAGGTAAAATGCACTTTGGGAAGTTGTACTGAAATAACGCTTATTTCTCTAGTGTCAGATTTTGTTATTTCTTTTTTTTTTCTCCTTCCAGCATGTTATTTTGAAAAATTACCAAATATAATAGGAAAGTGAAAAGAATTGTATAGTTGGACACCCATATACTTCCACTTGGATTCCACCATTAGGATTTTACTATACTTGCCATCCATCTATCTGTCCCTCTACCCATTAATCAGTCTTTTTAATGTGTGTCAGAGTAAGCTGCAAACATCAGTACTGAAATATTTTAGCATGCATATATCATTAATTAGAGTTCAATATTTGCTTACAGTTTTCTTTCTTTTAAGGTAAAATTTGCATACAGTGAAATGCACATATCTTAATTATACCAGCTATTGAGTTATGACACATACATTTGTGCAATTCAAACCCCGCATTGCCATCGTGCTAGAAAGTTTCCTCATACCCTTTACCAATAAATCTCTTTCCACACCAACCCCCGGAACAAGTACTGTTAAAAAAATTTTTTTTTAAAAATCATAGATTTGTTTTGCCTGTTCTCATAATTCATGTTAACAGAATCATGTCATATGTACTCTTTTGTCTGTCTTCCTTCAATCAGCATAATATTTTGAGATTCATTTGTATCGTGTATATCAGTAGTTTTTTAAATTATTGGTTAGAATTTTATTGTATTAATATCCGATGGTTTGTTTACCCATTCTTATACTTATGGACCCCTGAGTTGCAGTTTCGAGCTATTGTGTATAAACCTGCTATAATGATTCTTTTTCAAATGGCTATGGATGTACATTTTCATTCCTCCTGAGTTAGTATCTTCAAGTGGGATTGCTTGGTCATAGGGTAGATATAGTTTATATTTATAGGAAATTACCAGAGTTTTTCCCAAAGTGGTTGTATCAATCACATTCCCACTATAAAGTATCAGAGTTCTAGTTGTTTTACAACCTCAGCAATTTTGGTGTTGTCTGTCTTTTGAATTGTAGATATTTTATTAGGTATTTAGATTCATTGTGTTTTAATGATTTTTCTTTCTTATTTATCTTCTTAAATTTAGTGTTGGAACAAATCAGAGCTACCAAGAAAGTCATTGTTTCAGCTTCAGTAGTCATTATCCTCATGGAATCAACACAGCTATTTACCATGCTGGTCACAGGTAAGCAACCATTTGTTCTCATGTTTAGTGGAACATTAGGTGGATGTAGAAATCTTGGCACAGATTCAAAGGAAAGAAACTGTCCCTTCTGATTGTTAGTTTGGTTTCTTCATTTTCTCCTCTTGTGCATAGTTATCTTAAATATCTGTAGTATTGTTGCAGTTATTTTCTGATCATTCATGCTTATCTGTCTGGCTGACTTTCTCTGAGCTAGATGGGACACTGGGAATATTCATGGGAGACCTTCTCTCTTAACCCTCTGGACTGTATTTTTCTCATCTGAAAATGAAGTAGCATTATTGAGAGAGCTAATAAAGTACTGTATATATAGTGCCTTCAAATGGAAGGGCCTCAGTATACATTACTTCCCCTCTCCTGTCTTTTCTTGCAAGTTAGGGCTGCATTGATTGTTGTACAGTTTCTTCCAACAACTGTATCCCCTTCTTCATATATGAGTATGTCACTTCACGTATTTGCATTCTACATTGAGTTTACTGGAAACTTTTGGCATTTTCTACCTCCAGTGATTTCTCTCCATGGGAAGAGTAACAAATTTTGAGTTAGACAAACCTAACTTGAGTTCTGAAATTTGGGATCTGGAAGATCTGGGGATCCAAGGACCTGATCTCTTGACCTTGGTGTTACAATTCTGTGCTCTAACCGAGTGAGCTAACCAGCCAGCCTACTGAGTCTTTTTGAATGAAAGTGTATGCGATCTACATTGAGGGTTACTAGAAACTTTTGACATTTTCTACTTCCAGCCCACTTAAATTTTTTTGAATAAAAATGTGTGCAAGTTTTTTATTCTATTCAGTGATAGGTCTGTGCTTTTCGTTCAGAATTTTATTATGAAACTTTTGTACTACAAATGAACGCTCGTGCGCGCGCGCGCGCGCACACACACACACACACACACACACACACACACACACGTCCCTTTTATGCTCTTTCCTGATCCCATTCTCTCTGTCCCCGAGATAACCACTGTCCTGAATTTCTGTGTATCATTCCCTTGCTTTCATTATAGTTTTGCCACTTATTCATATTTAATTTTGCTGTTTTGACTTTTATAAATGGGATCACTTAGAAGACATAAGAGTCTTGCTTTGTGACTTGCTTTTTGATGCATGTTGCTCTTGTTCATTCATTTTTGATTCCTATTAGGACATTTAATTTTATTAATAATTTGCAACATATTTATCCATTCTCTCATAGATGGAAATTTGGTTTAGTTTCAGTTTTTTTTTTGTCATAAAAATAGTACTGTGATAAACATTATCATGCATTCCCTTGACACATATATGACAAGAATTTCTGTAGTATATATAACTAAGATTAGAATTGCTGAATTGTCGGATAAATACATTTTCAACTTTAGTAGATAATGTCAGATGTTTTCCAGAGTAGTTGTATCAATTTACAGTCCCATCAAAAGTATATGAAAACTTCTGTTGTTTCACATTCTCATTACTACTTTTAATGATGTCAGACTTAAATATTTACTGATTTGGTAGGTGTAAAAGAATATCTCATTGTGGTCTTAGTTTGCATTTCCCTGATTACTGATGAAGTTGAACAGCTTTTCATATGTTATTGGCCATTCATGTTTCCTCATCTATGACATTTTAAAAAATTTTATTTTCAAATTTAATTGTACATGTTTGTGGGGTACAGTGTGTTGCTTGAATACATGCATACATTTTACAATGATTCACTCGGGGTAGTTAGCACATCCATCCCTTCAACATCTATCTTTTCTTTGTAGCAGTTGCAGTCAAGATATTCTTCTTAGCTACTTAGAAATATATGATACAATATTATTAGGTGTAGTCAGCCTAGAACACCAGAATGTATTCTTCCTGTCTGCTTGTAGCTTTGTACCCATTGTTGATCCACTGCTTCCTCCCTCTTCTGCCCCCCTTCCCTTCCTAGCCCTTGGTAACCATTATTCTATTCTCTGCTTCTCTGAGAATCACTTTTTAAAATATTTATATTTATGTTTTTATTTATTTAAATTATATTTTAATTATGTTATATTTATATTCCAATTATTCATATTTATATTATTATATGTATTTTTTTATATTGATGAGTTTTATGTGCACATACTTTTAAGCATTTAAATAGTTCTGAAAACTGACTCCACCCAATTTCTTGCTTTCCAAAGGTAATCAACCATGTGTAGCTATTTTGTTGTTTCTTTTCACTGTTTTCATGCATCTAAGTAAAATGCAAAAAATAAATAAATAAAATGCTTATATTGGTACTTTTTTTTTTTTTTTTTGCGGCTAGCTGGTATAGGGATTGAACCCTGGGCCTTGGTGTTATCAACCCCATGCTCTAACCAGATGAGCTAACTGGCCAGCCCATTGTTACTTCTTGCTTTTCAGTTTTGCACATTATCTATTGACTCCCTTTATGGAAGGTATTTAGTTTTCTTACTCATTCCACCACATGTATGCACACCAAACCTTTGCTTGTTCTCTTGTTATATCTGTATCATAATTTTGTAGGATGAATATTATTATGGTTATGTAGTTGCTATTCACAGGTGAGACAAGAAGCTTTAACAGTATTCCATGATTGCTTTTTCCATTCTTATTTATTTATTCATTCATCCAGGATATGTCTTCCTTATGGAAATTACTTCTAGAGGGAGTGACATACAGCAAACAATGAACATAAAGTATGTGAGGATCTGATGAATGCTATGGAAAAAAAAAATGCTCAGAGGTGGAGAGTGGAAGGGTGGGAGAGCAGGGTGCAGGTTACAATTTTAAATAGGGTGGCCAGGTTACCCTTGTTGAGAAGGTGACATACAAAGATCTGCAAGAGGTGAGAGTATTAGTTATTTGGATAGCTGGGAGAAGAGTGTTCTGTGCAAAGGGAATAGCCAAAGTAAAAACCCCTGACTTGGGAGTGTGCTTGGCATTTTCTAGGAAGAGCAAAGGCACTATTTATATATACCATATTTTATTGTTAATCATTTTTTCTATTTTGATGAATATATCCTGCTATGGTTTGAACATTTTCCCTCCAGAGTTCATAGTTGAAGCTTAATGGCCAGTGTGATGGTGTTAAGAAGAATGGTATCAAGAGGTGATTAGGCCAGGAGGGCTTCTCCATCATGAATGGGACTAAGGCCTTTATAAAAGAGGTTTCATGCAGCATTTGGCTCCCTTGACCTTCTGCTGTGTGAGGAGACAGTGTTCCTCTCATTTGGAGGATGCAGCAACAAGGTGCCGTCTTGGAAGTGGAGAGCAGCCTGTACCCGACACCAAACCTGTTGCTGCCTTGATCTTGGACTTCCCAGCCTCCAGAACTGTGAGATATAAATTTGTCCTTTATAAATTACTCAGTCTCAGGTATTTTATTATAGCAGCACTAATGGATAGAAACATATCTCCAATTAGGATGTCAGATACTTGAAGGCAAGGAATATGTAGTGTACATCTTTGTAAAAGACAGAGCATCTAGTATAATAGTTCTATTTGTTGATTGATAATGCCCCCTCTGTGGGCAACTTGGATAAGTAACTCTTATTTCCTGGGTAAAGAACAATTATTACTTTTCGTTCTTTTGATTTCTCTCATTTTGTATTCTTCTCTATCCCCCATGTTTCTTTGTTTTGTTTTTTCTTGTCCCTCTGTAAGGGAGCTGTAGGGAGTGGCAGGAACTGAAGCCAACTGGAAGCTCACTCTCAGTCTAGAAGGGTTAACTGCAATTCAGCTCTAGCCAGTATTGCCTTGCAAGAATGCAGACCCAGTCTTACTAGATCTTCCATTTTTTCCAAGGTGTTTTATTTCTTAATCCTGGGCTGTTTCTTTGTGTTTTTTTGTTAAGTTTATTTCATACTTCACTGTCTTCATTTATTACAAAAGTCAATATTTGATTTCTTTTTTCCTAGCACTATTTCAGGAGGGTAAGTGGGGTTTACTTGGGACCATAGGTTTGAAATGTTCAGACACCGAATAGTTATTACATGATAATTTGTCATAAATCAGATTACATTTATTACTTTTAAGGCTTTTGCTTTTTGTCCCAGGATCTAAGCAATTGAGGGTATTTTGGGGGGGCAATCTCCATTTAAACAGAAATTTTGGAAAGTTGAATATATTATCAAGCCAAAGAAAAACAGCCTGCACTTGGTTCTGCAGTCATGTACAGCTCTTGGTAGCAGTCACCTTAGAGATGGATGACTGCATTAATGTCTCTGAATGAAAATTGTAAATCAAGAAGTATTTGTAAGTGCCCTGTTGAGCATGACAAAAATTTTGCTAGGTTGTTTTTATTTTCCATTATGTGGTCTTTTGTAAATGAAAGAAGCTGAAATATTCATCACATTTTTATTTATTTTTGGTTAGGCTAGTGATGTGAGCATGTGATATTTATCATCCACATGGGTTTTACAAATGTGAGATAAATCAGCCAGAGTGGATTTGGGATAAATTGGTAATGTAGAAACTCAGGGTTTTATGAAATTCATCATTTTGTAGGATGCTGTAAGCATTGTTGAAGAAGAGAAATTGAGGTGATAAATTGGTTAATAAGAAACACAAATTAATTGAGTAGCTTTGGGATAAGCTGTATGGATATGCTGATTTTGACTATTTTCTTTTTTACATATCCTAACTAGGAGCCTAATGAGTGTATTTTATCTTCCTTAAACACTCAGACCCTCATGTCCCAGTCCTGTCCCCTTTCCTACCCTCTCCAGCACCTCACTGCCTTCTCTTTTGTTTTTATTGTTCTGTTTGCTCTGTTGGTTTTGGCTTATATTATACCCTGATTCCGACTGAGGGGAATCTCTTACCTCCTCTGTATTCTTAAAGGAGATGACAAACTTTCGGTACACGGTGGGTACTGTGTTCACTGGTGGAAATGCAGATGTAGTCCCTGCTATCTAGGAGTTTATAGTATGCTTTGAGAGTCATATATTCACAAATAAGGATACTTAATGTGAGTTAAGTTCACATAGAAGACTTTATGTATTGATTTTT